AAGGTTTTGTCATCATCAGGTCCTTTTCGAAACGTTGTTCATTTGCTGTTATGTTAAACTTATATTAATTTTTTTCTTCATTACCCATTCAAGCCGTCTCCAATTATTATTATTTTCACAGTCTGTCATATAATGGTTAATATAAAAATTAAAATCTTTATAAATTACTTATGACTTTAAATACATAAGGCACAAAACAACGAAAAAATCATATATAATATAATATTTAAAATACGTATTTAACAATTCTATTATATCTCATTGTTAGCTGATTTTTTTACCTTTTTTGAAACCAGAATTACGGGATATCACCAAAACTTCAAACATTTATTAATTTAAAGCTTGTTTGTTTGTATTTCTTCATATATATATTTTTTTTTGTGTTCCTCCTCTTGTTGTTTTCGTAGTGCAAGTTACACAATGAACTATCTGCACTCTGTCCCCCCCCGGGGAATCGAACGCTGGCTTTTTTGCATTGTAAGTTTGTATATTTACCTCTGACCCACCGCAGGTCTACCGTTTTTAAAAGAGCACGAGAAAACATAAATATATTATTTTTAATCATTAACTTCTTTCCCCTCCATAAACAACACTGTTTGGAAAAATGTAGTTTTTTTTTTTTTTTGCTTCCATTGTGGTTGGTCAAAAACTGAAACTTTGTTATACAAAACAAACCTGAAGGAACTAAAGTAAATTATGATGTAACAGTTGTTCGTAAAAAGTTTTAAATTCCTGATTTCTTGGCGGCGCTTCTGTCGTTCGATTTGGATTAGCCTGGTTCCGGCCTCCGCATCATGGGATGGTAGGAACCAGGCTAAAGGTTTGGGGATGATGTCTTCAAATACAACGTGAGGCTGTGTGGAGATAGGTCTGTGTCGGGGAATTGGAAACTCACCAGGAACAGCTTTATTAAAAGGTTAGTACGTAAATGTGATCCACTGGAGAAAAAAAGACAAGCAAAAAACTGCTTATAGTTGTTGATTGACAGTTTTTCGGTTATATCATAATTTCAAATAGTTCAGTACTAACTAGAATTTAATTTAGTCTTACGGATGTGGAAAGTATTACGTTTGGTACTTAGTAGTATTATATGTACGATATTAAATCGCAATAAGGCTTAGAACAACACTTACTTCGTAGTGCGATAAGCATATGTAATAGTGGAATTGTAATCCTTCGGTTTAGTAAAAGTTTCTTAAAACAAATGGGCGTCCGAATACTTAAGGAGTGTATTTATATAATAATTCAGATTTATTGGTGTTTTTAAAAACCTTATTTATCGTTTTGGCCTACTACTTCTCTTTGTAGACCCTGGGGAATAAAATTTTAATTTACCTTCACCAATTTTGTTTAAACTCGTATAGAATGGGTCAGAAATTCGGGTGGTCATTAGTGGTAATGTGGCTAACTGATGATGTACATGCATGTATTTCTGTGGTCATTAATACTTACGTAGAGAAAACACGTCTCGTTTAAAGTGGTCAATATACCTTACTTGGTTGAGTGTTTATTTCCAAGTGATGGAAAAAATTCTCAGCAAAACAAGTTTAACAGTTTGAACCATTTATGTTATAGTAACCGCTAATATATTCACACACATCAAGTACACCGATTATGTATTCATACACATCAAGTTCACCACTAATATATTCACACACATCAAGTTCACCGCTAATATATTCACACACATCAAGTTCACCGCTAATATATTCACACACACACACATCAAGTTCGCTGCTAATATATTCACACACATCAAGTTCACTGCTAATATATTCACACACATCAAATTCACCACTAATATATTCACACACATCAAGTTCACCGCTAATATATTCACACACATCAAGTTCACCGCTAATATATTCACACACATCAAGTTCACCGCTAATATATTCACACACATCAAGTTCACCGCTATGTACTCCTCTTGATAGATCCAAACACACTATTTTTAGCTACTGTTATTGTATATCCGTCTTTAAAGTCGTAAGTGTTTCGTTTTTAAGTGAATTGTGTGACTGAGTGAAATGTTTTACACAATAACACATTCATATGAAGTAAGTAGTCTACGTCTAGTGATCATTTCCCTTCATTCTTGTCGTTAACATCATTTTCCGGTCTCGCATCATATAAGGCCTTGTAATCTCATTAGGAAGAATAAAGACGAGCACAAAATCTTGATAAATTCAGGTCACCAATCAAAAACCGTTAAATTATGCTTTGCGTTTAATTCTCTCTCACGTGACTTTCACTATATCAACCCTGTGTCGTTAAGGGTGATTAGGGTTATCGACAAACAACAGTTACTGTTCCATGTTTTTATTCTGTTATCATTTTTAACCCTTCTTCAAATATTTTTAAACTACTTATCTTCCTTTTTTTTTTTTCATTGCCCTACTTTTCTTGTGTTTCGTACGTTTGAACTTCTTGAGGATTTAAAAAGTTTAAAAGAGAAAAGACGTAATCTTATTCGCGTTTTGTATAAGAAAAAATTCCAAGGAGGCAGTCACGAATATAATTTTTCAATTTACACTGACTTTCGGGAAGACCCTAATCTTATTGTCGCATGACCCTATGACACTGGTAGGCCTAACTTTATTCGTTATTCTTTACGAATGTACACATTTATTTCTGCACAAGTTTTAAATTAACAGTCTTAATAATCTTGGTTATTTAATAGTTTTAGTTTAGTTTAGAGAATGGGACAGCCTTGTGGTCCCTAAACCACTCTCTTACAAAACTCTGTTCTTCATTGGGACAGCCTTGTGGTCCCTAAACCACTCTCTTACAAAACTCTGTTCTTCAGACACAGGTTCACCACTTTCTTACAAAACTCTGTTCTTCAGACACAGGTTCACCACTTTCTTACAAAACTCTGTTCTTCAGACACAGGTTCACCACTTTCTTACAGAACTCTGTTCTTCAGACACAGGTTCACCACTTTCTTAACAAACTCTGTTCTTCAGACACAGCTTCATCACTTTCTTACAAACTATGTTCTTCAGACACAGGTTCACCACTCTCTTACAAAACTCTGTTCTTCAGACACAGGGTCACCATTTTCATACAAAACTCTGTTCTTCAGACACAGGTTCACCAC